ATGTGTCTGCTTCAGCAATTCGGACCAATGGCATTCGGTTGGGTTTGGCACTTCGGCAATTCGCCACTTTAGCAATTCGGAACTTCAGTAATTCGGACCTTAAACACTAACCACCAACCCCTAATCCTAAACCCTAACCTCTAACCCCTAACCCTCACCCTTAACCCTAACCACTTGTTTTGCCACTTTTCAGAAATCAGAAGCACTTAAGCACTTTGGTAATTTGGAACTTCAGCAATTCTGAAATTTGGCAATTCTGAAATTCAGAATTTCGTCAATTCGGTAATTCGACTTCTTGTCCCAACTTTCGGCCCATATCGCTCCTTAACACTGATGTGAAGCTTTATGCTAAGCTCCTTGCTGGTCGGTTGTTGGCTATTCTGACAAGAGTCATCTGCCCCAACCAATCTGGCTTTGTCAAAGGATGCCAAGGGTCAGACAACACTAGAAAAATAATCAATATTATTTCCCACATGCACTCTGTCAAAAGTGAAGGCCTTTGACTAGTGCTGGATGCAAAACAGGCCTTTGACAGGCTTAATTGGCAGTATATGGAGCAAGTCCTGCTTAAATACGGCTTCCCCCGACCATTCATCTTAGGGATCTTGGCCCTCTACAAATCACCTAAAGCCAGGGTCTCCAACGCAGATTTTCTCCTCACCATTTCTTATCACAAATGGCTCCAGACAGGGCTGCTCTCTGTCACCCCTGCTATTTTTCCTTTCCCTAGAATCACTTCCTGCGAAAATTAGAGATCATCCAGACATACATGGCATAGAGGTAGATGATAACCACTATTGCCTATTGATGTTTGCAGACGAAATTCTCCTCTCCTTAGATAAGCCGACAGTATCCTTACCTGCACTACTACAACTTCTCCAAGAATATGGCTCACTACCCTACTACAAATTGAACCACTCAAAGACCCAAGCTCTACCGATTGGTCTGACAGCTACAGTCGTTAACCACCTCACCCAATCATATCAATTGGAGGAAGTCTAGCATAACGTATTTAGGCGTCAAAATAGCCCCCTCACTAGAAACTATATACAGCTTGAACTGCAAAACCATGCCCCAGAGGTGCAAAGAGGACTTCTCAAAATGGACGTCAGTCAGACTTTCCTGATTGGGCAGGATTAATACCACCAAAATGGTAATATTGCCAAAAATCCTGTACGTTTTCCAGATGCTACCTATCTGCACGCCTCCTTTCTTATGCCTGCAACTTATGCAGACAACAATTGTCAACAAATTTATCTGGGACTCCCATAAACCTTTGATCCCAATGTCTCTCCTCCAGAAACACCCACACCAAGGTGGAGTGGATTTCTCCCACTATCAGAACTCTTACAAAGTGTCCATGATAAAGGCAATAGTGAAAATGCACAACCCCAAAAATGCTCTTCAATGGGTTTACATGGAGGGAGGAGGGTGGCAGAGGGGATGCTGGGGGATCTGTTGTGCACCCCCACCGCACACAGATCAAGAGGGCTACAGCTCTTCCCCTGTACAGCACTGTCTTTACATTATTGGAATCATCTGTGCAAAAAAGAAGGAGACAATCACAATTACCAGTGACGGCGCTAAAAGTACTTTTGCCCTGGTTGCATTGAAGATTTATGCAGGGGAGGACCATTAGGGCTTTCCCAAACCTCCAGGAAGCTTACAATTTACCCAACTCATTTATTTTCCATTACCTATAAATGAAAAGCATAATTTCCACACATTTAAGGTACGGGGATACCACCCCAGATACTAAAACCTCACACATCCAAATAATATACGGCCGATGCTGGAGGTCCCCAGAGAAACCCAAGACTTTGCTATAAAACACTAATGGGCGTCTCACCAGAGGTGCCCCTACCATTCGTCAAGTCATAGGTATCAGAATCCCAAATGATACAGACGGAACAAGACTGGTTAGCCTCGTTTTATTCTCTTAGAGACATAACACAGTGCTACTGTCATGTCAAAGCACATAGAAAGCTAGCTTACAGGTGGTATTACACACCAAGCAGACTTCACCAGATCTTTTCCACAGTGCCGAATACTTGCTGGAACTCTTACAGTGTTAATGTGAGCTCCAGTGAATAAACGCACATAGGGTAGTGGTTAGGATTAGTTCTTCCCCTACCCCTCCCAATTTCCTTTCTGTACCCCCTTCCCTTCCTTTTGTTCTCTTTCATTCCTCATCACAAGATGCATGTATTGGTTATTCATAAGAAATTACTAGGTATCTCAGATTGGTCAAATATGTGTACCTCCTTCCAGTACCCCTGGAAGGAGGTACACATATTTGTGTTTGCATAAACCTTGGTAACTGCTCGGACCGTACAATTGACTGCTATCACACAAGATATTGCACCATTATGCACAAAGTATTTACACATATTGATTGTATTTAAGTATGCATGCCTGTGAAATTTTTCATTTTTATTTGAAAAAGTCAATAAAAACTTTATGACAAAAAAATGGAACGTTTACTCAGTCATACTACATGCCATATTGTCAACATCTTGTCACATTAACACTACATTTCCCTGTGTGTTCTCGTATTGCCCACAAGGTTGTCGTATTGTACCCTCATGTTGTAATATTGCCCTGTGCTGTAAATATGTTTACCCCTATGTTTTGACACACGCACACACCAAGTCACATAGGGAGATACACTTAAGCACTCAAACAGCAGATAAAGATTATGCTTGCAACACTTTACTTCTGAAGCTGCTTACAACTGATCTGCCCATCTGTTAAATATGCTTATTTTTGTAAACAAAATTAATTTGTAACACTATACTTGTAACACACACTAGTGAAAGGGTAAAACACAAACCTGGTCAAGTTACACAGCATGGACTGGTAGTTACCACTGTGTGAACAGGAGGCAAGTCCATGATATTAAATAAAGTCCATGATGTTAAATAGACTCAACATTTAAGCAATAACTTGAGTGTAAGATACACTAGAAATATAAAATAAATGCATAGAAGCAATTAATAAATACTTGCTTCTTCCAATTTTAGATGTTACTAGGTTTAAAAAAATAACATAATGCAAAAGAAAAAATCAGTAATAGAGTATATTACCCATTAGTGTATATATTTCTTAAAACAAAACAAATTCATGAATAATAAATTTACAAGAATAAAATATATTTTATTTATAACACAGTTAAATGAACAACAAGATATAACAAAGCATTAGCAATAATGTGTACTGATTCAAACTGTACATCCTAATACATATATTAGGACGTAATAGTATTTTCATAAATTGTGTATTTTCTGTAAGTAACAGTATCTCTCAGACATGATCACTTAAGCCAAGTTCTATCTTTTTTATTTTCCATGGTTTGGAAATGCCTTGTATTTTCTAAACATCTATATATACATTGTAAAAGTTATCATATATTTAATTAAATTTGCTTCATATGATTGTGTAGAACCCAGATTTATTCTTGTGAGCTTTTCTCAAGAAAGTTATACTTTAAGACTCATTGCATATCAAAGTATTACTGGTAAAGATCAAATTTAAATATCAATGAGAAGTAAAGTAGTTTATTTCATACTCATAATAATGAATCTATTATGCCATGCTGATATTAGTTCTGTAATATAATGATGAATTGTTACATTTCTGAATTAGAGGATGGGGAATGTTCCCCCTCTAGTCCAGAGTGTCTATGAACAAATCAGCAGTAGAAGTCATTCCATACTGTCACTAAACAGTGCCACAAAGTTCAGAGTACGGGGACAAAAATCTTTATTCAACCATTAACTTTTTGTTTAAAAATATAGGAACATAACATCTATGTTAACCCCTTAAGGACACATGACATGTCATGATTCCCTTTTATTCCAGAAGTTTGGTCCTTAAGGGGTTAAACCCGAGATGCTTAGCTAGCTTATAAACAAACAATAAAATATTATTAAAAATATGCATTAACAATTTTTATCAATCACTGGAATGCTAATATAACAGTAAAATTGTTGCACACATTCCCTCACTCCTCCCCCTCCCTCTGTGTAATATTGGTATCCCCTATTGAAACCTCCTTTACTGTTGGGAAGTTTAAATGAAGGTGGATAAGGTTTTAAATACTAAATTCTATTTTGCAAAGTTAATGAAAGATAAAATGTTTATATAAAATTTTGGATGTGAAGAATTTATGAAAAAGTTTAATGAAGCTATTTTGATGTTGATTTGTTCTGATTCTTTATTTCTTGAAATATGTATTTGCCGAGGAGCAGCAGATAATCATCAAGAATCCTGTTTGAGAAATGAAAGCATGCCAGTAGCATTAAACTGCTAGTTAGTCACCTGCTGGTGCCCACAGCCACTTACAGCTGCCTCCAGATCACCCACACTATTTATGTCAGTGTGGAGGAACTAAAAATAGTTAGTAGTCCTCAGAGGTGATCACTGGGATCCATAGGGATGAGCAGTAGACACAAAACACACAAACTACTTTACTTACATTTAGGTATATAAGTGGGCAGGTATATCATACATACTTTTAACCCATGAGTCATGTCCTGTGGGTAAAAGTATGAGACTTGTTTTTTAAAATCTCCATTAAGGTGCAATTTAAACCACAAATATGACTTGTGGTTTAAATTACTCACCAATAAAAACTGATCTGGCTCACTTTTCAATTTATTTTTGTTATATACCTTAAATTACATTTTGGGCAGCACTAGTGTGCCTTATGATAAACCATTTGCTTTACAATATTATTCTTTCTCTCTATATTCATAATAAATTATAAATGTTGAAACTCCTCTGGTGGACGTGTGGAGGGCGCATCATCCTAGTGTGGTCGATTACACTTTTTACTCGCCGCCACATGGCACATACTCCAGGATAGACCTTTTCCTTGTCAATGACTGCAGCCTGGCAAAGGTCATGAACACATCGGTGGGATCGATAGCATGGTCCGTCCACGCAGAGGTGACTTTAACGTTAGGGAACCACGCACATCAACCCCCTGGACGTGGAAGATGAACGTGTTCCTCTTAAGCGACCCTGAAATCATAAAACAAATAGGTGCTGAGATCCTACAGTGCTTTGCCACCAATGATAGCCCTGGAATGAAGGCAAATACTACATGGGCGGCCCACAAAGCAGTAATACGGGGTGCACTCATTCGCCAGTCAACTAGGAAGAAAAAACAAAAATCCCAAACTTTAGAACGACTTCTCTCAGAATTACGGACATTAGAACAGGCACACCAATTTCACCCAGACGGGAAGATTTTTCGACATCTCGACACAGTGAGACACTCTATCCAAGCCCTGTTACTGGACGACACAGCCAAAGCCATGACTTATTCTAGACGGACTTTCTACTAGAAAGTCAATAAAATGGGAACACTCCTGGCCAAGACCCTGAACCCCCGACAGAGACGCACGCACATCACCTCTATTTAACCCACAGACGGAACCATCAAAACCACACAGATTGATATGGCATCAGTCTTCACAGACTTTTATAAAACATTATATAACCACTCACCAGATTCAGAGGGGGGGGTACAGAAACAGAGGAGACACAGATAAGCAGCTTTTTGAGGGACTTGGGGATCACCAGAAGCGATAGCTACACTAGTCGCCGACATCACTGGCGAAGATATAGATCAGGCCATCACAGCACTTAAAGGAAACAAAGCTCCCGGGCCCGTCGGCTTCGAAGGAGGTTACTACAAAACATTCCGAGAGGAACTCATACCTTACCTCCTAAAGCTATTCAGAGAACTTAGACAGGGGGGCACACCGGACTGAGACATGTCCTTAGCTACCATAGTGTTACTGCTAAAACCAGATAAGGACCCACTCTTACGAGCAAACTATATACCCATTTCCCTAATCAACCACAACATGAAAATTCTAGTGAAGATCCAGGCAACCCGACTTAACCCTTTCCCATCGGCCCTAATAGATGCT